GTTTATTTCGAAAATAAAAAAAGAACATTAAATACACCCAACCTATAATAGTTACACGATGAAGACATAAAGTGTTTATTTTATTAATATAATCGTAGAACTAAAATACTGTTGTACAATAACAATCCCATTTAGAATAGGCTGTGAATTTATTTCCGGTAACTTTAAGTAATCTGAGATTCATATCTATAAGCTTTTACACTGAAACATCTGGACATATATATAAATTATTTTATTTTTTATCACCGCGTTTTATTTTATTATACGTCATGCGCGACACTAAAACGGGACTGCCATTAAAAAAAAAATACAGAAACGCGCTCTAGAGAGAGAGAGAGTAAGAGAGAGAGAGAGTGAGAGAGAGGAAGAGAGAATGTGTGGTATATGTCTATGTGTGAGTGAGTATTCACGTGCGTTTATACTTAATATAAATATACTGCAGTAATATGTAATATAATAAAAACAAATCGGCCGTAAAATAAATACGAGCATGCACGAATTTTAACACTTTTTAATTTTCATATTTACTCGGTAAAGGGTGTTTTTACGAGTCCCAACGTTTTTGACATCAATCCATTAAAAACGCAAAAAAAAAACCTSCGGCCAAAACCATTAACGTCACGTGCCTTTTAGAACGATGGCGTAGGTGTGTCCATACGCGCCCATACGTGAGTGTACAGGGATAGATTAAAAGGATGAGACGGACTAGAGGAGTGACTGAGAAAAAGAGTGTTTGGAAAGATGAAGAAGAGGAATAACACGGATAGGAGTCTTGCAGAAGATAAATCGCATGAAGGGTTTATAAAAGACAATCCTCGTATACGGAAGGGAAGAGAGGACTAATCTGGATTTGAGGCAAAATGCTATTTGTAAACGTCATTTTTTTTACACACGCTTAACTCTAGCTTTGCCATTGTGAGTCCAACGCATGTCCAAAAAGGCATAGAAATGAAAATTGTTTTTATTTGGTACTTTTATTTTTCGACTGAAGTATTTTAATTTTACGTCAAGCGTGCTTTCTTCAACGTATCAAAGATTTTTTGTATTACAATAAGTGTGAATTATTTTTTTTTAAACAAAATTGCCCTCGTCATTCTTGCCGATGTTGACTAATTTCAGAAATTTATGGATATTTAACACTCATAATAATTAGGTGTTTATATAATTTAAAAAAATACAAATCAGTTACTACCTACCAATACTGTGTGGCAATCTCGTAATTAGACTTCTTTTTTAAAACAAAATTCACATGTTTTATTAGAAAGAAAATTTAAAGTAACAATAAAATAAATAAACTGTTTTTCAATTACTGCTTATAGGTGAAATTAAAAAAAATTACAAAGTGTGTCACTGTAATGGATGGTATTAAATTTGAATTCGATGACATAATATAATTATAAATTTGTAAACGAAAAACGATTCTGACCAAAGACGGTTTATCAGTCTAGGATATTACAACTAAATAATTTGTAAATTTTGTAAAATATAAACTTTAAACAGTTATATAAAAAAAAACGTAACTATGTATTTTTAATATTTTATAATACTATTATATAAATTTATGGGGGACCTTGTATTAAACTTTTAAGCTTTTTGAACCAACCAATAAGATTTTATTGACATTTATAAAATAAAAAACTAAAAAATTGAAAACTGCAAATGTCTTTAAATAACTTAAAAACAGCTGAAATAAGAAAATAAATATTATCATCGTATATATAAAATAAACATCTGTTGAAAATTTCAAGTATACCTATAAGAAAATCTTTGTATAAGTAATATAGAGAATATCCAATGTAGTAAAAATTTTTATTTCAAACATTTATAAAATTTTTATTGAACTTTTCAGTAGACATTTTTTATTTTATAAAAATAGAAAAATTTATGGGAACTCTCGTTTTTATTTTTAAAATCTTCAATAAAAAGAAAAATTGTATGCATTGTAACTCAAAATAATTTACAAATGTAAGTGATTTTTAATTATTTTATCAAAACTCTAACTTTTAATTTTTATAAAAAAAATTGTGACCATMATTTTTATTTTCATCTGACACTATTATAACAGTATATTAAAAGCCTTGTATTAAATTTTCAAGTATTTTTATACGATGAATAAAATATCTTTGAAATTTATAGAAAAATACAAAAATACAAAAATTGAAACCAAAATGGATTTTGTCAAAAATGTAAAAAATTCATGTTTTCCCTTAATATTTTGTCTGTTTATCCTGTTGTTATTTTAAACTATTAGGATGTTTTGACTTTTGACTCGCTAAGGTATTAACTAGATTCACTTTTCTATCAGAATGTATACTGTTGAAGAGAATCGAGACGTGTTTACTGCGCCGAAACGTGATAACAGACACAAAAAAAACACACATCATTATTAAATCAATACATTTATCACTTCTTTCAAAATCTAAAATGTTGTCATTTTGATAAAATAATTTTAAAATAGGCAAGAAAATTGTGGTGACAAAAAACACAAACTAGTTCATTTTATTAGTTGTTTAGAGGCAGTAGCTATTATAGTATATTTTTTAATAATACATTTTATTCACTTTAGAGAAATACTGTAGTTAAATTTAAACTTTGTAATTTTCCTCTATTTACATAAACTTTCTGTTTGATGCAATGATTTCAGTAAATGTGACCGCTTGATCACAACTTTACTCGAGACAACATTTATTTTCGATAACTATATAGGAAGAACTCACGTGAATACGTGATTTATTTTTGACTTCACGAACCATTCTGTACACCCAAAAGCTAGATACAGTCCAATACATAGGTACGCTGAAATAATGTATAATATGAAAAATATAAATAAATAAGGAATTGAAATTCTTTTAGATGGCACGTCCCAYAATATCATTATCATTAGTTTCTTGTAAACTGAAGCGTATCAGTGTTCTTCAGCTTTAAAAATTAAAAATAATTTTTCATATAACTGTATTATAATAAAGATAATAGGTATTTCTCATTGARGCAATAATATATTCAATATTTTATGTTTGTTATAACTTATGATTAAAATACTCCAAAATACAAGATATCAATAAAATTTGTATAACAATGTTCAACAATAGTATCAATTTCTTATACAATTGTTTTTCTGTRATTGAAGTATTATTATTTTATTATTTTACCATAGTATTATAATATTTATTGGTTATTTGTATATATTTATGTATACATTTATTGATACAATCATAATTCTCATTTAACATTTTAAATAAATTACAGATTATTAATAAATAKGAAATAACAGAGTGTGCTATTAATTTGTTTTTACAAGTTGTCTTGGATGTGTCTGTGAATTCTGTTAATACTAATAAAACAAGATATTTCAGAGTGTTTCTTAGACACTACTTAATTATATAATATTTTAAAAGTGATGCCGAACTAAATTTAAGTTTGGTGAGGAAGAGGACAAATACCATTCTCGTCATCAACTATGTGATGGTTCAAGAGGAAAGCGGCGTGATTCACCACTTCTCGAAATCCTAAACATCCAATTTTAATATTCAAAAAATAAAAAAWTGGTGAATAAATAAATTATATAGTTCTGAAATAAATTCTTTTTATTCTGACATTTTAAAACATTACATTATATTCAATGTTAGCTTATTAAATTTCTTGAATATTTTGATTTAAATATTATCTTCTTGAGTTATGTTTAATGTTTTTGTAATTATTTAATTATATATAAGTATTTATACTTTTTTAATTTTTATAAATAAGTATTATTTACAGGATTAGGTAAAACCAATAAGATATATTGTGGTCTGTGGGGTCATAACTCAGTTGATAACCTCCGGGTGAGAAATTCTAGGAACATAATTTGTAGTAAAAGTATTAGATCAAATCTTTTTTTTTACTATCCATAAACCAATATTATAATATATCATTCTGTAAGTATTAAATTTATGTTACGTAMTTACGTATATGTATAAAATAACCTATCACGATATAAAAACTCCATAATACACATCAGTTAACCAACATAATTTTGTAGGCAAGATGTATTTTAATGCTATTGTAATGAWGTTCGGCACCACATGTTTTAAAAATTATAAATGATACAGACATACAACATAAGATAAATATAGTTTCTGACTAAAAAAAAAAAATACAATGTATTAACTATTGCCATAATAATAAATATTTTTTTTAATAATATTAAAATAACAATGTATACATTATGTTAAATTCAAAAACTAACAACGTACTTGCGTAAGGTTAAAAAGAAGAGTATAATATTACTTATTAAACAATTTGATATTATTTTCTCACACAACATTTAGCTAATAAATTGACTGTAATAATAATAACGAATTCAGTAGGTAGCATTTCAAAATTACCACACACAAATTGTCAAAAAAYTTACGAGATAAAGGTAAACATACATTTTTATATTAACTCAGGGTGTTTCAAAGTTCAAACACATTGTTTTTAGAATCTTCAGGTGATATTGAGTCATCATTAAGTATAGCCCACGATCAGTTCACATAGGTAGTATTCACTTTCAGTTATTTACTTAGTTTTATGGTCGCCTCAATCTAACTATAATATTTTAATATTTCAATAAAAAATATTAATTKTTGACTATCTTTGATAGTCTACTTGAAAAGTATACACTTAGACGGTTAGCTAGATTAGACGTTTATTTTCTAAAAACAAAGGTACAATTTATTATTTGCTAATAACCATAGAAACGATATTTGTTTCGATATGTTCTGTTATTAMATTTTTTATACAATTATTTCTGGYGATATTTTAAACAGTGCAAAAATAATTAGAATAAAAAACATCAAAAATGTAAACATCCCAAAAAAATCTATAATAATAATAATCTATAATCTATGAAACAATTTTATTTAATTATTTAATAATACAATTTGAACAAAATGAATCTCTATTAGCTAATTTGTATRTTATGCGTGATAATTGGATACGAGACTTTGTGCGGTATTGTGCCATTTGTGTGTGGTATAATGGAAAGCTTCGAATTAAGGGAATGTAATAGGATACTCATTTAGTATGCTAAAAAAAAATTAAATAATTTGGTCTGACACTTAGACCTTGTATTTGCTTACAAATCTATTTAGTTTAATATTACATTTACTGATAACGATAAGGAAAAAATATAACAGACCAAAATTCCATTAAAAGTATTAACGAATTGAATATCGGACCTATATAAATATTGACCTTTAACTGTCAATTCCAATATTAATCACGTGGAGAAAAGGTGTATTTTTTAAATTCAGGTAACTTAAATTAATGTATTGTGAATAATTCGTCAACCCAATTTTGAGTGTCATAAGAATKGTAATATTTATAATATTTAATTTATATGACGGATAAATAGGTATAAGACATATAGTTGGATATTTAGTGAAAATGGTTAGTTACAAATACACCATTATCAGAGTTATGATTTTTTGTTAGCATACTAAACGTGTACCTAATCTTGATTTTTAAGATCACAAATATAATGTTAAGACTATACCATTAAAAATGGTTTGAATACTACAATTTGATTTTGAGGTGATAGTACCTATTAAATAGTTTAGAATGTAAACTATATCCATGTAGCATAATTTGTGTTCGCATTTGGGTGTATTTCCAGAAATTTTAAAAACACAAGGGTTGCCTCCATGTTGTATAAAGTTGTTGCTTTGATACAACTGGATAATTTTTTGTAAAAAGGGGGGGATAAGGGATAAGGATAATTTTTACTCTCAGTGGATACGCTCACTCCATTTAAAATTTCAACGTTTAATTTGTACATTGGAGACCGATTTGATAAGTAGTCCACCTCTACATGTAACTTTTTCATTTCAACTTCTACGTTTTCTTGAAATACTAGTTGTTCATTAATTTTTACGGACATTATAGAGGAAAAAGCTAGTTTATTAAAAGTAATAGCAAACTGCGTATTATAAGAGTCACCAATCTTCACAAACTTCACTTTGTTAAATACATCATAGTTGAGATGTTCGTTTAAGTGCATGTTATATGTGTTGATGGATATTGTATGGGGTTTACTTCCTTCATTTACCGAAAAACCACAACCAAAAGTTATATTCTCTGGAAAAAAAATTGATGGAGTACTTATTTCATTTTCGAGAAGCTCCAGTAATCCATTAAAACCACGTACTGGTAGATGAAAAGTCATGTCATGCGTACTTTTTAATTGCATATCAATTGCATGTGCTACATATTTATCGGTATTATACTCAGAATAACCCTCTAGGAAGGGAATTTCCAAGTTAAAAAATCCTTGGTTATTATAATCACGATAAATAATTAAGTTACTTTTAAAAATACTAGTGTTGTATTTGTCTTGGTTACCAATATCTACAAAATCAGTAGTTCCGCTAATCACTAATTCATCGAACTTATGGGAAACGTATAAGAAACGATCATTTTTTTTTTTATGAATCGTACTTCTGCCCAATTCAATGTTTTCTAGTTTCAAATTCTCCAAATTATGGATCTCTGTATTTTTAAAACATATTTCATCATTTGTAAAAGCTTCGGCAGGGATACAGTATGGGAAAATGTTCACTGATTTCACATCCTCAAACAAATTAATGGACTCCAGTTGAATTTTCTTAAATAAATTCTCCAATTTTATAATTTTTGTAGAAAAATCTAAGAAACAATTATAACCAGTCATTGTGAGATCTGAAAAATATTACATAAATACAAATAAATTGCGTGTCAAAATATTATGTGCACAAATCATGACAAAATACTAATGTTGTTAAAAAAATTAATGAGGTATTTTGTGTGTATGACTGTATTTACAATAATAATGTTGTTTTAATGGTTTATTGATAGTATTTGGAATTCCTAATAATCTTGAGCTAATGATGAAAGTGATTTTAAGTCCTATATTGGATAAATTATTATTATTAGCTTTATAATATAAATATCATAAATCAAAAATTATTTTTTTTTAAACTCATATAGCTGTAAACGAAATCAGTGTAATTTAATTGAAATCAAATTTAATATTAAGGATTATGGTGAGTTTGTTAATTATTTGGTGGATTTGAGGAGAATCTATAAGGTGCTTACCAGTATTGGACCCCTGAAGAGCACGAAGATAAGTTAGGTGGGACAAGTATGGAGATCAGAGGAAATGATTAGATCAGTAATTAAATGGAAACCCGCTACTAAGATACCTAGAAAATACGTGCTAGACAAATATGGATAGATAGAGTACAAGAAGACCTGAAACTCTTAAACGAAAGGAACGCACAAGAGTGTGCATAAGATAAAGATTGGTGGAGACAATATTTTGTCGTGGCGATGGGCCTTATAGGCCTGTGAAATCCCCCAAAAAAAGAAGAAAAACAGTATATTTTTAAGAATTTTTGAAATAAAAGAAGAATATTATAACGATAGGAATAAGTGGAATCTGGGGTGTAGTGGCCGGATGGATTAAGACGCCGGTAGCAACGCACACTGTCACCGGTTCGAATCCCGGTCACGGGCAGCATTGAAGTTTACGCTGTCTGGAAAGAGAGGCCGCCGCCCCCCACCCGGGCATGGCAGAAACCTACGGGTGCCCACTAGGAATTCTGCCAAATAGGCGTCCGAACTATAGGCTTTCATACCCACTCCCGGACATAGTRCCATACAAAAAACAGTGGAATCTGATCTTCCCAAGATMTTTTAGATAATGTCCAACATTGTACTTATGAAATACATATAGTTTAATCAACATTAAATAATAAATGGTACCTATATAATTTAGGTGTTTGTACCTGATTAATTTGAGTTTCAGGTTTTAGGTTTTGAGTGGCGGGTGTATTGTACATTTAAATTCAATTTAAATTTAAATTTAATATATAACGCGGGTGTGAGCTTTAACTGCTAAACGAGATGTTATTTTGGAAAGGATGACGTTTGTGGGGAACTCTGTGCAATACGTAAGCTTATCGAAACGGGAAAAAGAATCTTGTTTAATATTTATCAAGATAACGGGACTTGATGTTTAAAAAAATGGATTCATATTATTTTAAGTGACGTATGGTAGGTAGTCACATTCTCCTAAATTATGTATCATGTATCTTTTATAATATTTTTGTCTACTTACCAAATAATGAATATATTTTAGTATCGATATTTATTTAGCACAATAAATTCCTACAATAGGGTCTACGACGTAGACTCTACGTAATATTAGAGCCATGGTTATCCACTCCTAGCGGTGACATTTATGTTTAAGATTATATTTTATGATTACGAATAAATAACCACTGGAAGCGTGATAATCATTTCTCTAATTTACTCTAACGGAGTATAGGTCCCATAAACAAACAAAGAGATGGGTTGCGCTTTCCTCACCCTCCCCCCCCCGCCCATAAAAAGCAAATCCATTACTCAGTGAAAGAGACAGGTTAATTCTAAAGGGTATCATGGATTAAAAAATATTATTATATCAATTCTTCCAAACACTTTCTTATTTTAATATATTATCCAAATTATGATTACTTTTTATATGGAAGAATAAAATTACATAATATGTCGTTTATTCCATATTACCCTGTAATATATATTTCTCTCTCTTATATATCTATGCTCGAAACCTCTCTCTCTAAGTGCAGTCCATCTCATTAAATGTTAGGTACTTACTGTTAAACATTGATAGACTACCGACAGCGCATAGTGTACTACATGCATGCTACATCATATTATGTGAATATTGAGTGAAAACACAGTACACACACTTAGTAAGTTGTTGATGTTATTATGGGAAACACAACTCAAAATAATTGCACTTTCTTTTACCTATTTTATCTGATAATAATAGCAATGAAATTATCATGTCTATGAAGTAAATGAGTATAATTAGGGGTTGATAGGCTATTGTTGCATTCACATGAAACGTAAAATGTATTAATGCAATAAAATATACTATAATTTTAAAACTTGTGTAAAATTTAAAAAATATAAACCAAGATATACCAGAGAAAATTAAAATATTTTTAATTCAAAACAGAATTTCTTATAAAGTTAAAAAAAAAATGATCTGATAGCCAACTCTGCTTTCAACTCTTCTATTTCATGACATAACCAAACTGATATTTCTTCTTACTCATCATATTTATTTTTCGTGAAATWATCGTAAAAATGAGCTTATTAGGCTTATTAAAGATGTAAATGACTTAATGCGTATACTACAACTCAACGTAGTAACAATTTAGTAAATTGTTCACGTGCTACAATGTACCACAACACAACATGGGTATAGGAACTAGATTTAGCCAGAAAAATTATGTAGTAAAACTCTAAGAAGATAATAAAATTTTTAAATTAAAAAGTGAATTGTCTTTAGGTGAAGCAAAGTAGCGATGTAGAGTAAAACCATGTAAAGTATTTTTTAAAACATTAGGAAAAAACAATAATAGTAATTAAAAAATACGAGTAAGTGTCGTACAATATCATTGTATACGAAAAACGATTCTGAGCGGAGATGGTTTGTTATTTTAGGATATTTTATAGATTTATACTAAATTAATTATATTGCTATTATTTAAAAAAAATATAGGTACCTATAAAAAAATCCCAAATTAATCAAATCAGATTCATTATGTACCAGACTCCCTCAGTATTTATAGTAGATAGGTATATAAAATAAGAATATGTTTGTATCATTTTTAAATTATTTTGCCACAAATTTAACTACTTGCGTGGAACCATGTTTTAAATGCTCAATCCTTAGCTATGTAAGTTAAACTTTTTATTACATTTTTAACAACCAAATAATTCGTAAATTTTCAATTAAATAAATTTTGTCAAAGTTTGAATTTTAAATGTTATAAAAACAAAAACATACCAACGTA